CTGAATAATTCCTTAATTTCCTTCTAACATCTGTTGGTTGACTATCTAAATAAGAGTAAGAATGGGTAATGTTTACCAGGCTTAATGCCCAGTCTCTATTCCACATTAATTAATAAGAATTTCTGGCCTAGTATAGTGCCTTATGCTTGTAATTCCAGCACTTTGGGAAGCCAAGGCAGGAAGACAGTTTGAAATCAAGAGTTCAAGACCAGCCAGAGAAACATAGTGTGAGACCCTGCCTCTACAAAAAAACAAAAATAAATTAGCCGGGCATGGTGATGCGTGCTTGTAGTCCCAGCTACTCAGGAGGCTGAGGCAGGAGGATCACTTGAGCCCAGGAGTTCAAAGTTGCAGTGAGCCATGATCATCCCACTGTACTCCAGTCTGGGCAACAAAGCAACACCCTATCCCTAAGGAAAAAAAAAAAAAAAATCTCTGAGGGGTGGGACCCAAGCATCAACAAGTTTTAAAACTCCCCAGGTGAGTGCAATGTGAAGCTGGGTTTGCTAACCAGAAGAAGAGAGAGCAGGTCCTTCAAGGGAAAAGGTCTCATTTGAGGTGGGACTAGATGGCAGAGTGGACAGTGGGAGGGTCCCCGGACCCGCAGACATGCCTTTTAAAATCTCACATCTCTGAGTTGTGAGAGTTGGTATGGAGGAGCTCTGCACGTCCTGCCAGAGCCGAGGAACCCCAATTCTGTAAGATCAGTCTCGGAAAAAATAGAATCCACTTACTCTTTTCTAAAATGTACCACATGGGACCCGCGTGAGTGCAGAACTCACATGTTTCTGGTCGTCGGAACTGGTACCCATCCTGCTGCTCTGTTTGTGCAGTTGCAGCCAAACATGGACCCCTTCTCTTTAGGAAGTTGTTAGGCATTTGCCCACAGCCATGGGTCAAAAATCCTATGGAGACCTTCTTGGTTTACAATGATGGTTGGGGCCCTTGCTCCCTGCCACTGGTCCCAGAGCCAAGCCTTGCCCAGCCTAAAGTTCCTTCTCTTCTCCTCCCTGCCTGTTCAAGATCTACTGAGCTTCTCTGGGAAGTTGCCACTTCTTTCTCTGAACTTCTGGTCTCTTTCTTCCTGCCTTCCATATTACTTAAACATTCGCTATTTTGGCTCCTAAGTAGATGGTCCCTCCTATCTGGCATTTCTTTTGAAATTCCCTGTGTTAGCCCATTTTCACGCTTCTATAAAGAAATACCCTAGACTGGGTAATTTATAAAGGTAAGAGGTTTACTTGGCTCACAGTTCCACATGGCTAAGGAAGGCTCATAATACTTACAATCAGAGTGGAAGATGAAGGGGAAGCAAGGAACTTCTTCACAAGGCAGCAGGAGAGAGAAGAGCAAAGGAGAAACTTCCAGGCACTGACAAAGCCATCAGATCTCCTGAGAACTCACTGGCTATCATGATAGCAGCATGGGGGAAAACTGCCCCCGTGATCCGATCACCTCCCTCCCTTGACATGTGGGGATTACAATTCAAAATGAGATTTGGATGGGGCACAGAGACAAACCATATCACTCCCCCAAACACTTGTTAGTTTCCAAAGTCCAGTATAATGAAGAAGCATGTAAACACACAGTCTCTGCATGTGTTCCCACTAGAAACCACCAATGTGTGTGTCAGTCTCCTGAACTGTTCACCTCTTTTCTCTTTGCTGATATTCATATTCTGTCAGTTTAGGGGCAATTTGTCTCTGACATGTTGAAATTCACATGCCTTTACATGGCATGAGCCCTTCCCTATCCAGCACTTGTCAGCCTCACGAAACACCACACTCTCTGCCTTCCAGTTAAAGTTGATTCTCCAGCCGCCTCTCTAAGGCTCTGTGTTTTTGCTGGGAGAACATGCCACTCAACCCACGTCTCCATTCATCATCTCTGGAAGCCTTTGTGGACTCCCCACTCAGAGCTGAGTTCTCCTACCTCTGTGTTCCCTCACCATGGTGCTTCTCCTTCATGGCGCAGTCATCACTGTGGTAGTTTCTGTTGTTAAGCCACAGGAAACTAGAAAACAGAGGAAAAGTCTCTGTCTTCATGAATGACCAGCACAGTGCCTAACGAAGATAAATATTTATCAGCTGAATGAATGAATCAAAGATTGATTGATTCTTAGTTGACCGAAGTCATCTAAGACTCCAGTTGACCAAGGAAAGCAAAGATCTTGAGCTGGGCTAAAAACCAGAATTTAACAAGAAAGTTTGTTAAAACGCTTACTCCCAATTATGAGACCTCAGCTCAAAAGATTCACATTCAGTAGGACCAAGGCCTGGCAATATGTGTTTTTAAAAGCCTCGCAGCTGAACCTAATTGATCAGCTCTGGTGACCTACCAATGATTTGGGGATTCTTCTTTGGAAAAGTCTGCACTTTTGCGTTTCTCCCAGGGCTTAGGGACAGGAACAACATGGCACGTCACTCAATCTGTTTGGCTCCTTACTCTCTAGGGAGGCTGAAGAGGCCACTTGCTTGTCTAGCATTCTGACCCTTCATAAGAAAAACCATTTACAGCCTGAAGCCCCCTGAGGGCTGGGCCCTCAGCCAGACAGAATGCAAGCAGAACGCTAGAGCAGAATCCTGTGCTCAAGCAGAAGGCAGAGCCATGGAGCCTAACCTGACAGCAGATCTGCATTTTGGCTAACTTCTAAATCCAAGAGGAACTGAGGAAAATAGAGCAACATTTGCTATTAGGGTCGTGTCATTCCATTACTGCCTGATGTGACTGACAAACCTGGTATGAGCAGTCTGCCTTTCAGCCTCTGTCTTTTTCTAAATGAGCATTGACTCAGTGTTTTCCTTTAATTAATATTCATTGCGATAAAAGATTGCACTCATTCACTTTTAATTATATCCTTCTTGCATAAACAGGCTTTTAATGACAGATCTTTTAGGATGAAAACACGAGCTCTCCGTTCCCAACTTTGTCTGATGCCAGGAAAGCTGCCTCTGCTATTGATAAAGGGGATTTCAATTTGTTACGTGGTGCAGTGGAAGGAGCCGTGGGTGGAAAGTTAGCTCTTCTAACTTTTACTTCCAGCTCTGCAAAAGCTATTGGAGGTTCTTGGGCTAACTCCTTTCTCCCCCATGCCTCAGCTTTTGTGTCCGAAAAATGGTGATTGAACCAGATCAATGGTTCTCATCCTCTGGTGTATATTGGGATTACTTAGGGAAATTGTTTAAAAATACCAAAGACCAGGTCACATTTCAGACCGATTACATGAAAATCTCTATGAGTAGGACCGAGGCACCACTATTTTAAAAAAGACTTCCAGATGAAAAGTTTTAAATACTGAATACTTCAGGATTGATAACTGCTGACATGGGCATCATTCTCACCAGACTTGGAGTTGCTTGTGGCTGCTGCTTGGGTTTCAGATCACACAGGGCTCAGGAGAGAGGCTGGGGTAGGCTTCACGCAGCAGCATAGCTCTGCTCTGTGCTCCTCTGTGCTGAGGGCTCACCACCTGCGTTGGGCTTAGTGGTGCAGTCTCGGAGAGGAGGGGAGGGAATTATATTGGCTGAGGACTGGCTGCGTGTCAGACACATTCAAATTTCATCTGTCAGCCATTGGATATGTATATTTCATGTCTGCTATGCTCCAGCATGGGGGATTTAATAGTGGTGAGTGAGGCAGTCTCTGCTCTCATGGCATTTAAGAAATAGTAAGGAAGAAAGACTTTATTTTTATTTTATTTTACTTTTCTTGGAGATGGAGTTTCATTCTTGTTGCCCAGGCTGGAGTGCCGTGAAGTGATCCCAACTCACTGAAACCTCTACCTCCTGGGTTCAGGTGGTTCTCCTGCCTCAGCCTCCCGAGTAGCTGGGATTACAAGTGTGTGCCACCACGCCCAGCTAATTTTTGTATTTTCAGTAGAGATGGGGCTTCGCCCACCATGTTGGCCAGGCTGGTCTTGAACTCCTGATCTCAGGTGATCCACCCATCTCGGCCTCCCAAAATGCTAGGATTACAGGGGTGAGCCACTGCGACAGGCTGGGAGAAAGACTTTAAACTGGTAATTGACAATTACACAAGTTTAAGGAGTTGTGAAGGAAAAGTACAGGTTGCTATCAGAGCACAGAAGAGTTGTGGGGGAATGTTTGTGAAGGAAACCTTCTTTAGGAAGTAAACCTTTAGGAAGTAAACCTTCTTTACTTAAGACCTAAGGCCAGAGGACAAGAAGTTCTTTCAGTTAATAGCTGGGGAGGAGCTTTCGAGTCAGTGGTAAGACACGAGGAAGAGTTCGGCAGCCGGGATAGCTGCGTAATCCCAGCAGGTGGTCAGAGCAGGGCAATCTTCCAGCTAGTAGCAGGCTGCCCATTAGCCTAGGATTCAGACTCTGAGAAAAGCAAAATAATGCCTTGCCAAGCAGGGCCAGACAAGGCCAGCATGCAGCTCTCCTAGGGAATGAGGTGAGCGCCGTGTCTTGATGCCTGGGTGGAGTTTCGATGTGACTGACACAAGAGGTCAGAGCCAGTTCGGTGCTCGGAGAACTTGATGCTGAGGTCCAGAGCTTGGGCCTGAGGTGGTTTAAGTGTCTCAGCCTAAGGGAAGAATCAGGGCCGAAGGTTGTATCCAGCCTTATCCTAAGGGAGGGTCCTATAGTTACACAGCGGAGGGAGCAGGCATGCAGAGGTGGGAGGCAGATACAGCTTGACCGTCCATTCTAATGGTTCTCAGTGGTCATGAGATTCTTCTTTCCACAGAGAATCTACTTCAGCATATCTGGGGTGGAGAATGGATATCTTGACAGAGCTCCACTGATGATTCTAATGCAAATTTCTAGTTGAGAATAACTGATCTAAACCAACATTTCCAGTTTTCAGATGAAATTGTGGCCTGGAGAGAAGTGACTTGTCTAAGGTCATATGAAGATCAGAGTCAGAAATGGAATTAAAACCCTATTTTCTTCCTTCCCAGTTCAGTGTACCTTAATGATTGTGTTAGAAATTAACATCAACAGCAGCAAAAATAGCTCCTAAAATGCACTTGCCATTCCCAGGCGTTTCCATGCTTCTGCTATCATCTGATCTTCACAACAGGGATTATTTACGCCCAGGTAAGGGGTAAGCAAACAGAGGTGTGTGAAGTGAAATGATTTGCTTGCCCAAGATCATATGGCTGGGCTGGAACAAGAACTTATTCCTCTTTCCTAGTCCTGAGATCTTTTTCCTGCTTCAAGCATCAGATTATAAAGCTAGACTTTAGGCTTTTCTCCCAAGAGGCAAGACCTGACCTTTCTCAACCTGGATGGTCTAATGGCCTCCAGTCCATTTCCTGTGCCTGTCACCAGCAAGCCCTAATGGAGCCCAGCAATAAGGCTAAAGGGGAGCCTTGTAATTAGTGGCCCAAAAGCAGAAGCGATGTTTGGACAACTGGCTGGCTGGCTGCAGCGCATCTGGCACCCCCAAGGCTCCAGAAACCAGAGCCGAAGTGCCAAGAACATCAAACTCAAGTGTCACCAAGGTCTGAGCTCAGCTGCTCCCTCAACATTTGCAAAATGTCTTGCCCACACTCTGCCCCTCACATCTTCCCCTGGTCATTTTCAGGACCAGATGAGCTGGGGTTACATGCAGCTGATCCCAGACTTGCTGGTTAATTATGTTGGCCTGTAATTAGTGTTTCCTATTCCTCACTCCTTGCCAACTTATGAAGTTAATGTATCATTTCTCTCTCTGCAGAAACTCCTTTGGGAGGGCTCTGAGGTGGCCACAAAATAAAACTCTCTGGAAGTGGCAGACCTTTAAAGATGTTCCATCTACTGACTGTCCCATCACCCCAAGCCAACCCCTTACCATCATCCCTGATTCCTTTCTCTATCTCAAAGTCTGTACCAGCCATCAGGTCTTGATGGCTCCTCCATCAAGGGTCCCTCCTGAACATGTCTTGAAGGTACTTTTGTTTCTCCGTCTTTGTGCCCTTTGATTTGCTCAGCACTCACCACCTCTCACTGGGACCTCTTAGAATATTTTCATACCAATCTTTCTGTCCTGGTCCTGCGGGCATCTCCTCTGTAATACGAGGCAGAATAATCTGCCTAAACTGCCAGTTTGGCCGTGTCCCTCTCCTACCTTAAGTCTAGCCGTTTGAGTTTGGCATATGATGCCCTCTGCAATACCGCCTGACTATTTTTCTACCCTCTCTTCCACTTGGCTTTTATACTAATTCAGAACTGCTGTATTTACTCCCTATTCTCTCCTGTACACATTCCAGTAGACATGTACATGTGCACACACACATGCCATCTCACACATGGACACACACATCATCCATCCATCCCTGTTCCATGAGCAGGAGGACAGAAGAGGGCATAGGAAGGGGACCTGACTGCCTAGGGCAAACAGCCCAAGCACCAACAAGAGAAAAGGGAGAATAGACTCCTTCTGTGTGGCCTGGAAGACAGAATTAGAAACTGTGAATTTCAATGTGAAGAATTATTACTCGGCCGCTGAAGTTGTCTGAACACAAGGCGGACTCCCCTGAGAAATAGTGAGTGTGCTGCTGGGATCACTCAGTACAGCCTGTGTCTCTCAGATGCTGCAGGTGCAGTTCTTGCTCTAGGCATCATCTGGGAGTCAGTGGCCTTTGGGTGACATTCTGCTTGCATGATTCTATGCATCTCTGATATAGAGTCCTGATCAAATTCTGCTATTTACAGAAAGACTTTCCTGTTTGAGCAAATCTCTCACATCCCTGAACACTGGCGCCTGCATGTAATCTACTCATGAGAGTGGATACACAGTCATAATTCACTCTGTTATCCCCTTTTCCCACCACCTTATGATAAGAGACTGAGCCCAAGAGTGAGGAAGGGATTTGCCTAAAATCGCAGAACTGTTAAGGGAGCATAATTGGGGTCCCTAACCATTAGACATCCCTCACCCGTACACACATACACTCCACACACTCCCCAACATGCCCAGTCTCCACCAGACACTGAGAGCTTTGCCATGCACAACACCATTCTCAAACTGCTTCCAGCATTCAGCGGAGTCACACGTGCTCTCATTTAGCTACCAGAGCTTGATGGCGAGGAAGAGCAGGAAAGTAATTTGAACAGTGTGGGGAGGCCGCCTGACCTTCTGCTCACTAAGCAGAGCCCCAGCCTAGGCTGAGGGTAGGATGGGAGCTAAGAGCCTGCCGTTTCCTCAACGTGTCTCATTCCTTGAGTGCAGCTCAGAGTTGTAGGCATCCTAAATTATACGGCTGCTAAACGCAGGCTGGCGACTTCATCTGAAGCAGCATCCAAAAGCAGAAATCATTTCCAGCCCTGGAGGGTGACTGCTGGTATTGGACTCATTGAGGAATGTGCGTTTTTTTTTTTTTTTTTTTTTTTTTTT